AAAACCACTTACAATTAGCTTTAGTTTGCATTCCCAAACAAAAAAAAAATTTAAATAATACTAGTAGCAACGCTGTGCCATAGTGTATTGTATGTAGAAAACCAAAAAATAAAATTTAAATTAAACTTACCACAGTGTGTGTATGTACATACATAGGTGAATGCAAAACACACACACACACACACATATACACAAAAGTCTCAGTCATAAGTAATCTGCAAATTCGAATCACCTCAAATAACTCAGCAATTTGTAAAGAAAAGTTCCTCCAGGCAAATTGCAAGCAACAAATCAATTATCAATTATTGTATATAATTTCTAAAGTATGTAGTTTAGTTAAAAAATTCATACATATGTATTATATTTGCATGCTCATTAACATACAACATTCAAATGTTATACATATAGTACATACATATATTGTATTACTCAAAACTGCATAAGAATATACATAAATGTTAGTTAAAAAATTAAATATTTAATTCAGCATGTTAATACCAGCATACATACATACATATATCTCAGTTTATGTGTATTTACACACATGCTTACATGCATATAAAAAATTATGGTACATGCATGAATGCATAAATACATACATATAAGTTCTTCCATTTGTAATAAAAATAAATGTAGAAAATATGAAAGAATCCATTTTAATTATGCCGAATTTCCATTGGGAATTGAATTGGAATTTTTTTTTTTTTTTTTGACAAATTTGGTATACAACCAGTAATTTTTAAGCAAACTAACAGACCGACTGCAATTCTTATATAAAAATTTAGGAGTACCGTTAATTTCATGATCGAAATCGCTTGACGTGGTCCAAAGTTATACGGTAACATATCGCTAGCTTAGAATGAAAAGTTGCTAAGCCCCAATCTAAAAATTGTACAGGAGAGGAAAAAACTTTTTACAGTCATTTTCTTCAAGTATTTCGCAAAACTTTGAATACAACATTTTGCCTGTTTAAAGCAAAGCAAAACTCCATACGAATCAGAGGGACTCGATCTTTATTAAAGATTTCGACCTATTTTGGCCGCATCGCATTTTCGGAGCTTTTTTGGACTTAGCAAATTTTCCTTTCATTGGCCGACAGGAAGAATGCCCGATATTCGGAACGTACTTAAATTATGGAGGGAACACTTTTCAGCGATACTGAATTGTAGCAGCTCGGAAAATTGTGGAGAAGAAGAACCCGAGCCCCCAGTTGATCATGACGGAGTCGATGTTCCTCCGCCTGACCATGAGGAGGAACGAATAGCAATAACGCGGCTGAAAAACTACAAAGCTGCTGGAGATGACAGACAGCCTGTCAGCTGAGCTATTCAAGTACGGTGTCGAGGAGTTGATAAGGTACATGCATCAACTCTTATGCAAAATATGGTCAAATGAACGCATGCCCGACGACTCGAATTTAAGTGTGCTCTGCCCATTCCACAAGAAAGGCGACCCCGCCATTCGCACCAACTACCGCGAAATCAGCCTTCTAAGCATAGGTTACAAGGTCTTATCGGGCGTATTGTGTGAAAGACTGGAGCCCATCGTCAATGAGCTGATTGGGCCTTATCAGTGTGGCTTTAGGCCTGGAAAATCCACCATAAACCAGGTACTCACAATACGAAAAATCTTGGAAAAGATCTGCGAGAAAAGAATCGACACTCACCACCTATTTGTCGACTTCAAAGCCGCTTTCGACAGCACTAAATGGAGTTGCATATACGCCGCTATGTCTGAATTTGGCATTCCCGTCAAACTGATACGGCTGTGTAAAATGACGTTGAGCAATACGACCAGCTCCGTCAGAATTGGGAAAGACCTCTCCGAGTCGTTCGCCACCAAACGGGGCTTCAGGCAGGGCGACTCTCTTTCATGTGACTTCTTTAATCTGATGTTGGAGAAGATAAGAAGAGTTGCAGAACTGAACCGCTCAGGAACAATTTACTACAAGAGCGTGCAATTGCCGGCTTACTCCGATGACATCGAATCATCGGTAACAAAAACCACGAAGTCTGGATAAGGAAGGAATGCTGTGAAAGTATTCAACTCGGAACCCGCTGGTGGTAGCAGAGGAAGAGGAAGGCCCCCACTGAGATGGAAAGACCAGGTGGAGAAAGACTTGGTTTCACTTGGCATTTCCAATTGGCGCCAGTTGGCACAGAAAAGAAACGACTGGCGTGCTTTGTTGAACTCGGCTCACAGTGAAGAGTAAAGCGCAGATATGTTCGCCCCCATTGAAACCGACACGTTTTTAATGGACGATTTGTTCTAAGCTTTGTACTTCTCTTTGCTCGATGCTCCAACCAAAATTTTTAGAAGACACTGCCAAATTTTCATACAATTTCCGTGTTGCATGTTAGGTGTGAATATTTGGAAACAAAAAGTTGGAACAGTTTAGTGGCCGCTGCTGTTAGAAGTGCGCGCTGCCATTCCTCAGGGCTTGGGTTCGAGCCCAGTTTCCGAACAACATCAAAAAAAACCTCCGAATGTATTCTGCCATGAAAAACAGCTTCTAATAAAAATACAATCGACGTTCGGCGTAAAACAATAGGTCCCTCCGTTTGTGTCACAACAACAAGGCGCACGCCACAAATCGGAGCAGAAGTTCGGCTAAACAATAGTATACGTGTCAGCGCCAATCTATTATTATTATTATTATTATTATTATTATTATTATTATTAGTTCAGCAATTGCAAATTTTTATCAGTATTGAGTATTGCGTGGCTCAAAACAGACCACGAAATTTCCGCTTAAAAAAGCTCGAGATTTCCTCCCAGCATCTCTGGGAGCGGCCAGGTCTGAAGCTCTGTCCGCTGTATCGTACTAGTTCCCGGCGATCACACAGGCGCGGGATAGTTTAAAGCCGGCCTCCCAATTGCTTTGTAAGTTTGCCAACAACTTTTAAGCGAGAGATTTACGAGCTTTGAAGCGCGTCTGTATTTTAGTGACGATTGAAATTCGCATAATTTATAATCGGTATTGTAGTTTCATCGACCGGTGTGTCAAACTTCAGCTTTACCTCCTTTGTCCTGTTAGTAAAACGGATTACGCTTTATTTCGTAAAGGGAAATTGTTAGGATCATTTTCGTAAAGAAGGTGAGGGATGTCTATTCACTTGAAACAAAAGCATCGCGTTCGTTGTGAATTTCTACCAACGTTTTATCAATTAGGACGTTGGAACAGTCGCAAATTTTCATTAGCCCTGCGAGACCCCCTGCTATCTGGTTTGGAGGTTTGATCTCGAAACGACCCCGATGAGTGTCGACCACGCACTTCCGTCCCGGGCGGAAGGAAGATTTTCCAATTTCTTTAAGTAGCTTTGACCTACTGACCGGTTCGAAAGCTTTCGACAGGTCAGGTACTAGAAAGACAATTTCCTATGCTATGCGGTGGTGGTAGTAACTATACACTTTACGGAAGCCATGCTGATGTACTGATGGTAGTGCCACAAACTTAGAGCCCTATTATTTCCGCAGCTGTCTGGTGACACGACGATTGGCCTTATCTGCCGAAGGGTGCAATGTGAATTTCTGGCTAATATAGCAAACAATTCTCAAGGCTCGGCCTAAAATAGTATCCGAATGTGATTGACTCCTGGCCATTATAGTTCGCCGAGTTGGGCAAATGTCTTATAGCAGATCAAAACTTGCTTGCCCCCTACAAATGCTCATGTCTTTTGTCCCCTTATGTTGATAAAAGTAGGTAGTTGTCGAATCTCCGAATTGAGACCTCTGCGGCGATCCACGGCATCAGCGGTAGGAAGTTAGTAAAACGCTGACCAATTCGAACGTTTGTAGGAATTAGTCGGGAAGCAAAGGCGCTCTCGATGAATTCCGTGAAGTCGAACCAATTAGTTTTATTAAAATTCATAAAGGTGGGGTGATGTGATGCTAGGACAAGCATACTTACGTTAAATACTCCGCGGTAGATTTCTTCGTCGATAAGACGATTTTGAAATGTGGTGTGTATAATAAATGCTAAGCTTAAATCATTGAAACGTCCGCAACTTAGAAGAGCTTAGCCATTTTTTAACGTAGTTTCTCGCATCGCATCTATTTTTAAGGTCAGTTATCTATAAGATCTTACCTTGGCGTCCATTCTAGTTGAATTGGGTTATTGTCATTTTCCCCTTGGGATATTAAGCCTCTCGGGACGTAAGTCTCCTGGTGCATTCCGAATAGTCGATTGTACGCACCAGAATGATTAGGGGTTTCGCCGACCAAGGACTGTTGTGCCAGCGATCTAACCCTGTTTAGATCTGAGCGCTTGGAAAATGGTTCACTTGAAACTAACTTTTCATAGTGGAGGGGCTCCAGCTTTCTATTTAGTAAAGGGCTGTAGAGGTGGATAGGAAACAATATTTTCAGATATTCAAGATTCCCAAAAATCCCCAACCCACTTAGTTGGCACGTATATTATACCTTTAAAAATTTATAGACTTTAGGGACCAGGGGATACTTTGAATCCGACAGCAATACGAACGATGCCGATGCGTTCCCACGACAGTCGGGTCTACGCGTTCCCACGACAGTCGGGTCTACGTAACCGGAACGGCCCAGATAGATATATATCTGGCCAAGGACTGCCACCACTCCAGCAACACTCCCCAAAATCTCTTTGGGGAATTTGTGTGCTGTTACAACAACAACATGCCGAATAAAGATAAGAAGGCTTCGGGGTTTACGAGATAATTATTTTATACAAAACCTATGGCCTTGCTTGCGAAGGCTACGAATAAAATTAGAAAGATTATGATGCCCTGGGCAAGTCACTATGTACTACCATCATCGGGCAACGAAACTAGGGGACACCAACGAACACAATTGAAAAATGAAATGCAAAGGACCCTGTCCGCACTTGGTTTGAAGAATAAGCGAAACTTCGCCAGAGAGAGGGAGAGAGACACAAATTGTTTTGATCTCGGCCCAAACCGATAAAAGGTTTTAGAGGTAACAACAAGAAAAATGCCCTTAATTTCGTATGTGTCAATAGAAAACCATTTTTTTCCCGTGCAAATATGTACTTTTTATTTCCATTTAATTAATATACTATGATCAACAATCAATTGGATGATTGTGAAAGAATATAAACGATTTGTTTGGCAATGTCTTAAAGCAATAACATATCGTTGCCTTAATATAGAAAGGCCCTAACTCATATAGTGGTAGAAATGCAAAAAAACACGTAACTAACTAACCTTTTTTATTATTGCATAAAACGATATGGGCACTTATAATTCGATGATATGTATCATAATCAATCAAAAAGTGAATTTTGAATTTCTATATAGTTACGGCTTTTTGTATTTCAGCGACGATGTGAGATAGGGCCTTTCTATATTAAGGTATGTATGTGTACATGTTTAAAGTAAATTTAGCAACATTAATCCCGCTATAAATTGAGCAATAGCAAAATATAGTATTATTTGGGGAATGTATAATGCAATAATGACCTAAAATTGAATACTTATACCTACGTATGAGATAATATGGAGTGTTTGAATAACTTTAACCTTGAACTAGCATAAATGTTTAACTTATAATGAAATTCGGCAATATTCGAATGATAAGCGATTGGAAAGATATATATATAGAAATAACAAATATGTGCATATGTATATTAAAGTGAGTAAATAGGGAAAATCGGCGAAAAGCAAAAAAACAAATGCATTGCTAATATCAACAAGTTGTACGAACATCGAGTTCGGTTTAACAAAATTCTTTGATATTGGCGAGAGCTTTGGAAAACTTCACAAATATATTAATGAATCTCCACTTATCGCCTTCACTTCTCCTTTAGCGTGCGCAAATCCGGATAGAGCGCGCCGGCTGGCACGAAATTCGTTTCTGCGTGGCGTATTTTAGTTTTATAATCATCGATGACTGCTTTGCCTGTATTCTTGGCCATTTTCTTCGCCAAACCTTTCGGTGTAATGTAGTTAACATTTTGACTGACATTGAATGCGTTGCCGAGCGTGTCAAAGGTGCCAGCTGCAACTCCGCCCGCTGAAGAACCATATCTGACAAAAAATAACATAAATTTCCATAGAGATTAAGAAACCAAATTCAGTTTAAATTATTTAGCTCTTTACGACACTTACTTATGCTCAATTATCTTCACCGAATTTTCGCTCAAATTTGTTCCCAATATTTTTGCCGATGTCTCGAGCCCATCATAAACCGTGCTGAAGCCCTCCACCGCACCGGCAGCAATGGTCATGGCACCCTCCATTTTACTATGCGCCTCGTTGGGGTCATAACCGAAACCCTTCTGTAGCAATGTCGAACCAGCACTCTGCACATGCGGCGCCAAGTAGCGGCCGATAGCCATCGAGGCGGAGCCCACTTTGCCGGCTATCCAACCGGTGACGCCCACTGCCGCATGCGTCACATCACGCGCCACCGTCACAGAGGTTTGCACGGTCGACGAGACTGGCGGCGCATCCGGTGGCGCTGGCTTCATTTTGGAAATGATGTACGGCGTGGTTTTCACCATTAACTCACCCGTCTTCTCGGCGCCACGCACCAGATTACGCGCTATGAAATCGGCTGCCGTGACGATGTGGCGCGAAACCTGTTCGCTGGCATCGCGTGGTGGTCGCGGGACCACAATTGGTTGTTGCAAAAGTTCAACGCGGCCAGAGAGCACCGCCTCAAGTAGATCCAAGAAGAATTGCTGTAAATCGCTGAGTTCTTCTGGTTCTTCTGGCTGTGCAGCCGCCTGCTCAGCGCCGTCAACGGCTGAGTCACGTTCGATAAGCATCAGCCCGAAAGCATGCCCCGCCTCATCGATTTCTAGATCGGGCAAAATGAAGGCCCCATAAGATGTGCGATAACAAATAGTGATCGCCGGTAGAAGGGCGTAAAGCCAAATCATTTGCGGTGACTCCTTTGAGGGCACTTGAATATGTTCGGTGTTGTTGTGTGCGGATGGTCCCGTTGGAATTGTACATTGTACAAAGGAGATGCCATTCAAGTGTTTCCATTGTTCATCGCTGGGTGTAGTACACATAACTAGAGACATGGAAGTTTCACCCTGTCGAGGAAATCATAAATATGAATGAGCGTAAATTAAAAATAAGTCGGTGAAAAAGCAACCAAGAGCTTGAAAAAGAAAATTGCAACACGAAAAACTTCATAATCCATTTTGCAAATTAATAAAAGAAATGGTAATATTTGTAATCTAAATTATTTACATTGTGATTTAACGTTTGTGCTTTGATGTTTCGAGATTTTCTTTGCGATTTTCATAATTCAAATGCTTGTGTTCATGTTGAACTTCGCACTCATCTCTTGTACATAATTCTCAAAAAAAAATTAAAAATGCAAACAAAAAATTAATACCAACCATAGTGACAACTACACCATCAGGCTGAATCTTGTATAACTTTGCCTGCGATTGAAAGAGTGTATCGAAAAGTATGCCCACACCAGTGGTATCGGCGATAACGTGTCGCAAATCCGACAATATCTTACGGAAATGAGCTGTTGCACTTATTGTGGTGCCATTAGTTGCGCTTGTACCTTCGTGCGTGACGGGATTTTCCAATAAAAGCGATTTCTTCTTCGGCGAAGGTCCAGCATCTGCATCAACTTCGCGAGCTGCACCACCGCCAGCTGCCCCATCTTCTTCCTTTGCCTCTATGGCAGCACTATCGACAGGTGCATTTTGTGCGCGTAACACCTTCAAACGATAGCTCACTTCTACTTTGGCGCTCTTTAATTTTTGCACAATGGCACAAGCATCTTTCCACTCAGCCGCCACGGCATCGATATTGTCTGGCAGTCCCACCGAGATGGCAAACGTTTCGTCGATTTGTTGTAAGCAATGTTCATAACCGTCAATGGCTTCAGCTAGCCGTTCATGTTCTTCATGGCCAATGGCCTCATCAATGCAGGCGAGTATACGTTTGTTGGAGGATTTCATGCGCTCGTAGGCGCCGAGAAATTCCGCTTCCGTTGACATGATAACCAGCTAAAAGTGAAAAATAAATACATATGTATAGTTTAGTTATAAAAAATAAAGTGGTAATAAAAATACATAGTCAATT